CTCACAGTATCTGGTGGGCCCTTGGGAGGAGGTGTCCTGCTGCTGGCATGACCGTATGGAGACCCCTCTAGTCAGAGGACTTCTCAGTGCAAGCTCCCCATTGCTTCAGAATGAAACCAAGCAAACATGGAAAAACCTAATAGACTGCACTTATTAAGAAATTATGGTTTACCTATTCATAAGCCTGCTGTCTTGGGAAGGTTTAAAACAAAGCCCTGTGCTCTAGCTTTTTATTTCTTAAACAATGCCATCTCCTGCTGTGTGTGCTTCAACTCTGTGTCTTGATAGCAAGTGGCAAAACTGAAACAACAGAAAAAGAGGGGAGGAAACAACTTCAGTTAAACCAAGTCTGATATAAAGATATTTTTTTTTTCCAATCAAGAAAGAATCATCTCGTGCACTTACAGAACTGGACTCAGAGGTACAGGCTGCGCTCTGCCACTGCCCTCCTGTTCATCCTCAGGCATACCGCTCATGGTTTGTCCATATACATTTTCCAGGTGTGAAATCCTGTGAGAGGCGGAGGGGGTATTTCCCAGCCCTTGCTTGTCTTGTCACTCAGGATGGTTTTCCCACCAGCCCACAACACCTGGGGGCTGCAGCCATGAAAACCCATGCAAGGAGCAGCAGGGGGTGAAGAAGGTGTACCAGTGCTAGCATCTGCCACCCTGCAGTAGAGGGGTGAGTGCACATATTGGGGTGTTCAGCTACTTCTCACTTTCACTCCTGCAAGTCCAGAGTGGCAACAGACCTGGCACCCTTACCACCAGCCACCCAGAGTGGGTGTGCAAGGGCTTGGACACACAGCCCCTACAGTGCAGCCATCACTTACTGGGTTAACGTGTCCAGGTGGGATGAGGACAACAGTCCCAGGGTGATGGCTCACTGGGATGGGGGTCCTTGAGGTGCTGCTCACGGTGGTGAGCTTCCAAGTGGCCCAAGCACAAGCCCTGGTACTGCAGCCACTGTGCACCCCCAGCAAGCAGCCTGGGTATGGGAAAGAGAATGTCAAGAGGCTGTTGTCTGACAAGGCTGAGAGCCCCAATTAAAACTGCACATGGAGTAGCCTCTCCTGGAAATGTCAGATGGTGCCACTGCCAAAACTTTCAAAGGCTGTGCTGTGCGAGACGTCGTGTTTGAGGGAGTTCAAAAAGTGAGCATGGACGATGGACTCAGGAATCTAGAAGTTTAGATGAACTTTCCATTCCTGGCCTATTTTAATATAGCATCTGAGGCCACAGTCTGGTAAAGAAGATAAAAAACAGATTAATCAAACCTCAGAATTTCAACTTAGATGAAAATAATATGGTTCAAATATGCCCTAGGGAGGAATGCTCGACAATATTGAGGATGCCAGAACAGTGTTAGTGCAGCACAATGCAACATGCTGGCATGTGGTAATTTTAAGAGCCAGAAGTATCTCCTCTTAAACAATCTGAAATGCAAATGTGAAGCCTGTTTTCCCTCCTTGCTCTGTGTTTTCTTGACAACCGCTGCCAGGATCCAACCACTAACTTGTCACCACAAAAATATGTCAATGCATTTGCAATGGCTGAGGCGTTAATCCTGACCTTCATGTGTATGCGTGTGCCTTCCTTACACAGTCTTCAGGCCAAAGTCTGGTTTCTTAGACTGATTCAGTTCTACCAACAGCCAGGAGAAGGGGAAGCCAAAGGTTTTGCCCCAGGGACAAGATGCCCATTATCATGCAGAAGGATTCTGGTTGTATGCAGGGCAATAGCAGGGAAAAAAAAACCCAGTTTGTCAAAAAAAGGAAATGGCTTGTGAAAAGACAAACACGGGTCATTTAAACTAGAACCTTCCCTAATCCAGCTCAGCTCCATGGCAAGGACAAGAACCTGACTTCCACCATGTAACTAAGCTGTCTCATTAAAAGTTCAGGCTGCACGTAGCTCAGAGTGCTTTCAGGATCCTCTCCAGCATTGAGCACTGCCTACAGTTTCCTACACTCTTCCAAAGAAATGAAAATAAAAACCTGTTTTGCATGGAACTAGGATGCAATTCACACATTATTAAGATGTAGCAGTTTTGCTCTTTTAAAAACTGCGGTGAAAAGAATAGCATTTTAACTGACATTTGAAAAATAATAGGGACATTTTTCCTTTCTTCTTCATTTTTAGCTACTGAACAAAGTATATTAAAATATTTCTTTATTCTTGCTTGCCTACTCTGCTAGAATCTTCTTGCTCCTCCCTACACCCTCCATCCTCTCGTTTTCTTAGTGACTTCAAAATTTGGAAATACCTCCTGCCCTAAAAGTAAAACAAAACAAATAAAAAACTGTGAGGCTTAACACAATTTCTTATTCTTTTTATTAGAGTTCCTTACCAACATAGCAAAACATTCTGGAAACAAAAAACTTAACCAACATTGTCAAAAAAAATGTGTAAAAATGGACAGGGTGGTAGTGCTGTTTTGTTTTGTTTTGTTTTGTTTCATTTAAAGCTGCCTTTATGAACCAAATATCCATAGGGACTGTCCCCTGCAGACCCTGTCATGACCTAGTAAGTCACTTTATAGAGTTTATTTCACCTGGGTGTGCTCTGTGAACCACCTGGGTGAATGATTCCCACCTCACTGCATTGTAGGCTTCAAGCTATATAAAAGGCAGACACTGTAGAGAAACTAGTGGCTGTTATTACTGCATGACTTCCAGCATTTCTACTGCATTGCAAGTCACCAGCAAGAAACCACTCCGCTGCTGATACATCCTCTATCATTCCAGTACATTTGTAAAGATCCTACAGGGTGGGCTGCTACAGCACAGCTGATCCCTGTTTCCTTGGCAAACTAAACTGAAGAGGGGTGCACAGCCCTGCAGCATGTTTCACTGGGGCCAGGAGTGCCCCAGCACTCACTTACCCTGCACCCTGCTTACCCCTTGCCTGCAACAAGCATTGCAGTTAAATGGGAGAGAGGATAAACATGGGGCAAATACAGTGTCCAGCTCAGCTGCAGTTACGGTACTTCGTGAACTGTTGTGAAGTTTCATATCAGAAGTGAGATACGCAGCTGCACTTTTATATATGACTATGCTGAATGCACTTAAATATACGTTTAAATGCTTTGCTGAGTGGATCCTATGTGGAAAGAAAGAGGGGATGGCCTAATGTAGTGCATTTCACACACCACTTCGGCAGCATCTAACATGAACTACAGGTCGTGGAGTGTATAGGTTGTCTGTCCTAGCTCCAGTTAGCACTTGGGCATACCCTTGCCTTTGCTGGATATAGCCTGTAGCAGAATTCCTCCCCTGGGCAAGGCTTGACAGCAAAACTTGAGGAGGGTATTGAATGGACTTAATTGCATAGCTTGCAAGTCTTAGTAGGAGTTGCCCATATATGTTCTCAGTGCACATGTGGGAGTATAGATGTCTGGATCCTGTGTGATGGGATATTTCAAAACCAGCTGTAGTAATATAAGCAGCAATACATAGACCTTTATGTGGTGACTGAAAATGAAAGAGAGGTTTTGAAGAAAAAACTACAATCTGAAAGGGACCAAATAAGCTACAGGACAGATGCCATCCACCAAATTACTTAAAGCTGGAAGACTAAAAAAGTATCCTAGTCTAAGCTGGAATTGTTGCATTTCCCCTAGCTGCGAGCCCACCCCAACACCAACTTACAGATACTGCCTCACATGGTATACAGAAATAAAACTTTGCTTTTTGGCCACAGAGACTACTGGAATTATATAATGTTCTGTGAGTTTTCTATACAACAAAGGACCTCTTTCATGGAGGCAAATCTAAGCAAGAAGTCACTTTGACATGCTGTCATGAGACAAGGAGGCTGGGCACCAGTAAGGGAAACGGGACCAGGAGGTGGAAACACTTGAGAAAACCGCTGCCTTGAAAAGCAGCCTGCAGCAAGTAGCACATCCCGGAGCTGGAAATGGGATGGAGGCGGAGGATGTCTGGGAGAGGAGACAGGGGTGCCAGCAGAAAGGTAAAATGCCAGGCGGGGTGGCACATGAAAGAGCAGGCACAGGGGAAGCAGGGTGACCTCCAGATTGCTTTCCCCCAAGATGATGGAGTTTCCCTATGTTGTCAGCATGGGGTTATTAAACTAAAATTATATGCTGGAAAATGCACTTCAGCTCCTTGCAGCAGGACAGCAGCAGGATGGCACACTCAGCCCCCAACCAGCCCTCCAGCCGGCGCAGTGGCTGTCCTGGCTTAGGGGCGTCCCTCTGCCAGGGGAGCTCTGTGCTCACCCTTGCAGCAGCACCCCATGGGACCAGGCTCGGAGAGAGGCTTCTTTGCCGTTTATGAGAAAAGGAAGCAGATGGGAGATCATACAAAAAAAATGTGAGGAGGTTGCGTGCAAAACCAAAGCCACGCTTGAAATCAAAGGTACCCTCAAGATACTGGCTCAGGCCTCCCCTCCCTTCCCCACCTGCCTCCTACCCTATTTAACAACACACCTGGGGTCTTCAGTCAGACTGTACACACAGCTTTGTCACTTTTGAGTGTCTGATGTCAATACAGTGCTTTAATGTGCAACGCACGTGCAGGGTACGTGGGCACCTTCCCTCTTCCTCCCCACACATGCTCTTCACCGCTGCTCTCGGGGGCTGCCCTGCCTTCCGCAGCATGCCATGCTCCTGCTGCATTCACGAGGGGCTGTGCTGCTCCCCCACTGTCCATGCCCTCCCTCCTCCTGCCAGCCCCATCCTTTCCCTTAGCCAAACCTGCTGCAACTTGGGGCTGCAGCCGCTGCCTGCCTGCCTGCCTGCCGCAGCTCCCGCTCACCGCGTCGTGTACCACCGTCCTTCCCTCCCCGACAGGCTGCTTGCTAAGGACATGCTGTGGCACAGCTGCCTGCCTCCTCTGCTGCAGTCATGCAGGTTTGGATTACTGTGCACGCTACTGATGTCGAGCTCCTGTCGTGACCCAGCGCCCCATAGGAGGAGCAAATGAGCTGAGACGTCAACGCAAAAAATTATAGCCATGCGAGCCATCCCTGCGCTCAGCTGCTTGGAGAGTGCATACATGGCTTGTGTGACAGCAACAGCACACAGAAGCAGCAATGAAATGCAGTTAGCAATACAGCTGGGAGACAGGCAGCAAGGCAGGCACTGGTCCAGTGACTAAAATGATCCTACCGTGAGCCAGCCTGCAGTGCCTCCAAAAGTGGCTGACTACTACACAGGAGCTCAGCTTTCTTTGCAATTACTCCAGTTCCCCCCGGGTGACTGCAGTGTGTGCTCTGATTTGGTTTTGTTTGCATTTTTTGTTTCTTCCCCCCCCACCACCCGTCTCCCTCTCTCTCCTCCTGTGTCCTTCTCTCCAGGATGGCGGAAGCCGAGTTGCACAAGGAAAGGCTCCAAGCCATAGCAGTAAGTCAGTTTCATTTTACTTGCTCTTTTGTCCATAGCTGCGGGTTGCAGAGGGAAGGAGGGGATTCCGGCATGGTGGCTGGGAAGCGCCCGGAGAGCCGGGCTTTCGCGAAGTTGTGCGTGGAGTTCCCCGTTCGGGAAATGAGTGGTTAAAGTCTGCTCTGCAGTTTGGCGGAGAAAGAGGGCTCTGAGGAAGAGCGTTGAGCTGACACGTGCAGAAAGAAAAATGTGAATGCACAGTGGCACGTTTAAAAGATTGATGATGGAGAAGAAAAGAAGGAATAAGTGGGGAGGAGGGGAGGTTGCAGGAGAGAATCAGTACTCTGCTGAAAAGATATTTTCTCACAGTGGGAGCTTTAGCTCAGCTGATTAAGAAGTTAAACAAAATGATCTGCTGCAGGGTGGCTTTTACTGCAGAAAATAATTGTGATATTACTAATTTTTAAGACAATTGAATACAAACACTGCATTATCAAAATCATGTAATTATTTGATCTACTAGTTAAACTGTCACCTCAGCTCCACAGCTGAGCACATGCTTTCAGACAAATTCCCTGCTGAGTTGCTTCCTGCCAGGGGTAAAGAATAGGCAGGATTTTGCCCCATTTTAGCTAAAACTTTTGTTTTCATTTTTAGTACCATAATTTGGAGTGACCCATGGGCTCAGTGGGTGCACACCTCAGAGGAACGTGGGCAGTGACACCTGGTGAGGATTGGGCCTGGGTGTTTAAAAACCACCATCATCCCGGCATACAGAAATTGCCAGCTCATCTTCTAGCACAGCACAGGCACCATGTCAAAAGGCCTGTGTTTCTGTGGGCACTGCCAGTCTTCCAGCCCCACACAGCCTGCCCTTGTTCAAGTGACACCCAGCTCTTCTTCTTCCCCATGGCTGAGATGTTGATGCAGCTGTGCCGGTCCCAGTTGGATGGCACGGTCAGTGCTGGGGGCTGCACACCTGGAGGTCTGAAGGGAAATGATAGAAGATGGCAGAGCCCACATGGGTTTTACATTCCCTTCCCCAGTTCCCCCAGTGATCAACAGATGCTACGTTTTACTGTAGCCAGCAGAGATTACAGATTTCCTTTGTAGTAAGAGGAATGGCTGCTGCTGCTGCTGCTGTTGCTGCTGCTGCTGCTGCTGCTGCTGTTCCAAGCTGTTTTCTTTAAGTCCGCTATTCCACTAATAGGTCCATGGAGATTTAAAATAACCAGATGTAAAACAAATAGATTGGGGTTTTTTTCACTCTAAAATATTTCCTGAAAAAGAGCAAATGGTATCATTTGATATTGGGGGGGATATTATAACCGTTTAATTTTCAGGCAGCAGAAAGTAGATGCATATTTTGAAGCTGGTTCATAGTTTTCTGGCAGCATAGGCATTGCCAAATCTCCAAATGGAAACACCAGGAACATTCCCCCAGAGGCAACCCTCACCACTGCCTCTGGTTTGGGACTCCTGTATGGCAGAACCGTACTGCAGAACTGCTCCGTGCATTGCTGCTGTATATAATTCTGAAAAACTTCTGTCTCTACATTAAAAAAAAGGTTTACATTATTGCTGCTTCTTTTGACTGCTATAAAACAGAAGACCAAGCAGCACACATTTCCACTCCACATGATGTGCTTAAACCTTTCACCAAAGTAAATCAGATGCTCTGCTTCTTGGTGCCTTGCATTTCACACCAATGAGGCCATTACGGATGTAAAATTTTCACCTGGTGTATTGCAGCTTTTTACAGTAGGTTTATGTTGGTATAAGAGAAGGCTTTGGGAATCTGGATCTTCATTTTCTCTGTATATTTCCTTTTTGGTTTCTATTTCTGGCCACAAATAAAACATAGTATAGCAATGTATGCAGTGAATTAGACGGAAAGAATTTTACTTCAGCATCAAAAATATTCAGCTTATTTTAAGCTTGAATGTGGGTCTGTGGACTGACTTGTTTGCTTACCCACTCCGCAGAGCAACAGGTTTTCCATATAGGCTTGTTAGGTAACTTTTTTCCTGTGGTTGGGCTCCTGCAAATGTTTGTCAGAATGCAGAGAAGTTTATTTCTACTGTAAGCTTTGCTCCATCAGGATGAGTGACATGACACAAGTTAGGCATTTCTCTTCTTCCACCAGTTGGCTATAATAAGGTCAGTCCTCAAAAGTTGCATAGCCTTTCTTAGAAGAAGAAAAAGGTGGCATTTTGGTTCAGGTTGGTGTTCCCCCTATTTTAACAAGCTACAGTATCTCACTCAGATGATCAGAAGCTTACACCAACACTCTTCAATTGAGCTGGTTGAATGCTGGGCATATAGAAAGAAATTAATTTACCATTGGGACTTCTAGACACTGTTGCCTGTACATTTGTGCTTGTTTCGATAATCACCATGGCAAATGAGCTTGCCAGGAAGACAGGCGGAGTAAATTTTAAGTGTGCATCACTGAGTATTTAAGGAAAACAAAATCCAAACATGGAAATACGAATATTTGCACCAGAAGGCTGACACCTTTTGGAGAGTTTGATTTTGTACTTTGTTACTCTGACTAATCACAGTTTTAATATATGCCTGTCTGGCACAGAGGCAAGTGTCATGGGAAGAGGAGAAAAGAGGTCTAACTGTTAGGACATTTATCTAAACCTTGGTGAACGTGAGTTAGCCACTTGTTTTGCCAGCAGCAAGCAGTTAGCCTCTCTATGCATTCATTTTCCATCTGTAAACTCTGAATAATGGACTTTGCCCTTGTCTCAGAGAGCTGTTAAGGATGCATGCAAGATTGAGGAGAACTTGGATGCTATGTTTTACCAAGGCAAGAAACAGCTAAGTAAGACTTTAAAAAACAGAATGCTTGACTTAAAAAGAGGAGGTTTAAATGTATATGTTTTTAATACAATTGTACATGCTTAACCTGGGATTTTTAGATCAGTCTGTTTCTAAGTTTCTAAAATTCACAAACTGACTATAGAAAGACTCAGAGCACTGTGGCAGTCCAGATTGAGAAGTGGGGAGATGTGAGACAACTACCAAGAAGTGGAACCCAGTTGTCTCTCCCTGGGAGGAAAACATAAACTCTATGTACTGGGGAGGTCCTATGATGGCCAGGAGTGATTGGTTTTCTGATCCTCCCTTGACCAGAGATCACATCACATCTCCCCACTCGGGTATCATGTGTGCCACAGACAGATACTGGTAAATCTTTCTGTGGTGTCACATTGCTCTTAACATCTGTTTGAGCCTCACCCTAAATCACCACAGCAGCAATCTGCTGCTCTGCCACCAAAAAAGCCAAGCAGTTCTCACTCTGAACACTGTGGGAAGATGCCTTGCAGGAAGCAAGCAAGAGGTTAAAAGGGGAGGTTGGAAGCCATCTTCTCTCTGAGCTTGTTACTGTAGCACACTTCAGTGCTTGTGCCTGTTGTTTTCCTGAAGGGGGATGGTGGGTAAAATTTTGGGTGAAAAAGGAAGCATTTTTGTGGCTTTAAAAAATATGCCTGCTGTGAGTTGCTCAGAAGTTTGGAATGCAAATAGTCCTGGAGGAAGCAGGCTCGGTGGCCAGGGGACAGGTAAGCTGAGTTAATTTATCACATTTTGGATAAATAAACTGTGTGGCTCCACAATTTATTATATGGTGCATTTCTCTGTGACTGCAGAGATCACCACCAGATAGTGAACTAAACATAGACAAGCATTTACAAAATGTAAATATTTATCGTTGCTTAGGTAGCAGTCATAAAGCTGGGAAGTGGGGCGTTGAGTATATATCAGTGCACCTGGGTACAAATGCACATATGATGCAGTGAATATGTATTACCCATATATCAGGTGAATTAAAGGCAATTATTGAGGGACAGCACTGAGGAGAAATCGTCCACTAGAGCAATAATGAGGGCAGGAGCTGGAGGAGGTTTTCTGGTGAAGGAGATATCCAACCTACAGATGCAAGTGGGAAGCCACTAAAATGTACTGATTTCTTAGCAAGTAAAAACAACAGTAATGATGGTTACTGCTTACCAGTGCCCAGCCCTGAGAACCAGTAGCTCAGTGAAGCATTAAAGAAAAGTAATTATTGACATTCAAGTAGCCACATCAAAGGTACCTCATGTTGAACAAGACCATTCTTGCTTTTTCTGTGAGATTATGAGTTTGTTGAGCTGGATCTAACATTACTTAAATGTCATCAGCTAAGTGTTTGACTTAGTACAGCAGGACACTGTTTAAAAATAGCCCCCTTCTGTATCAGTGGGGTCTGCCTTAGATGAATTAACGACTGGCTAACTGACAGGTCTCAAAAAGTCACTGTTAGTGAGGGGAGACTGCTGAACAGACCCTTTTTCATTGAGAGCAAAGGCAGGGGAGAGCTTATAGGAAGCAGCTTTTCAAGGCTTGAAGCTGTTCTGCATTGGTACTTTGATGTAAATGAAAAATCAAAATTGATAGTGTGCTGGTAACATAAGGACTGGTGGAGGAGTAAATATGATGACAAAAAGCAGTCCTGCAGAGCAAGTTGGATTATTTGGTAAGTGGTGTCCTCCATTTTAAAGAAGTCCTTCACACCTATATACAGCTGGTGTTAAGAGAGCCCAGTGCAGGATTGTGTACCCAAATATAAGGGAGTACAGGGCCAGCACCGCAGAAGAGGGCTCTGCAGTCTGAGCAGTGCTGTCTTTTGCAAGGGACTAGAACTAGTGTGGGAAATAATTCAACAGGGATGAGGTGGGGATCCTTGTCCTGCAAAGGAGATTAGTTTCACACCAGTCAAACCTATACCAGGTGAGGTTTTAGAGTCCTCCAAAAAGGGAGGCAGGTGCATATATGTTTACATACAGCATTGCACTAATTTTTCAACAAGTCTTTGAGAGTAGTAGTACAATTATCTTTTGAAAAGATAGTACCGGTATAGTTTCAGTATCACAATTGCTGGTAACCTAGGCATTCTACATTTCTGGGTTGGACACTCAGCAACTGCAGTGAGCATCATGTGGTGTCCATAAATATCGGAAAATTTATTCACA